ATGCTCCCAGCCACTGCACCCTTGACCTGCTGTGCTCCAGCGATCCTTCCGCCTCAGCCTTCCAAGTAGCTGGAAATACAGGCACGTGCTACCACGCCCAGCTGATTTTTTTTTTATTACTTTTTATTGTAGAGATGAGGTCTTGCCAAATTGCCCAGGAGGGTCTCGAACCCGCGGGCTCAGGCAATCCACTCACCTCAGCCTCCCAAGGTGCGGGATTACAGGCTGAGTCTGAGTCCGGCGAGATTTTCTTAATGGAATAGTTTCTAAGCACTTTGTGACTTAATTGATATTTATTTTTGGATTTAGACTTCTAAAGGAATTAGTATATTATCTGTTTTCTCAACAGATACATTAATTTGAACAGATAGATTGTGGAAAAAATTCTTATTTTGCTTACAAATAATTATTTTATGTGATTCAAATAATTCAATCTCAGCCTGGCACGATGGCTCTTGCCTGTAATCCCAGCACTTTGGAAGGCTGAGATGAGAGGATTGCCTGAGTTCAGGAGTTCAAGACAAGCCTGGGCAACTTGACAAGCTCTTGTCTCTACAATAAATAAAAAAAAATTAGTTGGGCATGGTAGTGTGAGCTTGTATTTCCAGCTGTTTGGAAGGTTGAGGTGGAAGGATCACCTGAGCCCAGCAGGTCAAGGCTGCAGTAACTGTGGTCATGCCACTGCACTCCAGCCTGGGTGACAATTATTCAATCTCATGTAATCTATATTCACTAAAATAATAAACATTTCTCTTGGTTAAATAATCTAATAAGCTTTATCAAAAAAGAAATTGCTTTTATAAATCCATAAAAGAAATGTTACTAGAACTGGGCGTTATAAATCATATAGAAGCACTGGAAATGATTCCACATGTAAAGTTGCTATTATGAGTTTTAAACAGATTATACAATAGTTATCATTTAGATTTTGCTATCAAAATTACTCAGAATGATTTAATAGTAGATAATTCATTGTTAAACAAAAAATAAAACAGATTAGAAATTTGGAATTAAATGTCTTTAATAAATATAATTACTCATTTTTCATTCTCAATTACAAATCAGTTAGATAGGTCATGGCTATCCAGAAATATTAACATTAATTAGAATCAATGTTTTCTTTCTATGAATTGAATGTCGACTTAACTAGCATAGATACTTAACTCTTCATGTGTTTTAAGAACCAATTGTGAACTATATCATGTTTATGCTAAACATACTCTTATGTGACCTCCTATAATCCAGTCACTAAAAATCATGAAGTAAGAGGACAGAAAAATGCCTGTGATACAAACAATTCTTAGTCAAATAATCTCAGAGGGTTTAACTACATTCATTTACTCCCAAAAGTTTTGAATGCCTGTATGTATCAGGCACAGTCACAACAATGAGCAAAATAGACTCTGCTCTTGTAGATCTAGATTTCTAGCAGGGAAAGGTAGATAAAAAACAGGTTAAAAAAAGTTTATGCAGCAACAAGTGCTGTGTAATAAAATACAAACAAACAAACAAAAAGAGGCAACCACAGGAAAATCGGTGAGGGTGCTCCAGCAAAGAGGAGTCTGAGGAAAGTCCTGATGTGGAAACAAGTAGCATGTTGGAAGAACAAAAAGCAAGAACAAAAGCAAGGCTGGAATGTAGGGAGTGACATGAAGCACGGGACACAGTTAGGTTTGGAGAGATGTGCTGGAGACTGGAGAGAAGTTTAACTTTTATTCTAAGATTGATGGTAAGATCCTAGAGGCTCCTTCTGGAGCTATGACATGATACATATGTTGGAGCAAGCACTCAGGTCCGAGAATGATTTAATAAAACTGGACATGGGCAAGAGTGGATTCTTAGAGATGACTGAGAACACTACAGTTGTCCAGAGAGGAGATGGCAGCTCGAATTACGGTGATAGCTGTGGAGACGGGGAAATAGGAGGATTCTAGATGTTAGAGGCACAGCCAAATGGAGATTCGTAGCACCCACAGGAGTTATAAAGATGAGGTATCTCGATCTCAGTCTCTCACGCCCATGTATTCTTCCAGACCAGCTGGAGTAAAAAAGAACATGGGTCTACCACAGTGTGCAGTCATTCTGACCTGAAGGCAGTGAGTTCTTCTCAGTGTGCATATTTATCTACTCAGTGCCATCCTGTTTCAAAATCTTCCTTCCACTCCTAAGATCATGGAACCACAGAACTTTACAAGAGGATGGAAAAGAAGGTAGTCTGCAGGACTCCAAATGAGTGACTAATGGCAAGAAGGAAGCCCAGCTCTCCCACACTGTACCACTCCATGCCTCACACTCCCTGAAGCTGACAGCCAAGGGCAGGATGTCTTGTGGCGAGAGGTTTCTCGTTCTCTTTTTTGTGCTCTATATTTCTCCTTCTCTCTGTCTTCAATATCAATAGCAAGTCCTCTTTTATAAGCCAGAATTAGTCTAATAATTTACATCTGGGACTCTGTATTTGGAGAAGTATCCCTTCAGAATAGTACACAGAGAATTCATCAACTATCATGAATAAAGAATGATTAGCACTGGAGGCAACTGCCTGTTGGACAACTATGTTAGTCCTTAAGGCCAATAAGATCAGGAAAGAGAGTACTTGGCCATTCTAAATCATTCCTTTGAATGAGAATCATCCAAGAAAGAAAATAAGAAGATATGAAAGTCAGCACAAGTTGGAGATGATGCCTGTCCATCCTGTACAGTGTCTGATTGAGTTATTTCTACCACTGTGGTAAAATGTCCATCTGCAGACTTCAGACTGGAAAAATCACCTGAGACATGATGCCACCTATGGAGCATGTGAAGCAAACCTGCATCTTGGAAAAGGACAGGAGGTGGAGTACACATCCCCATCACGAGGGCAATGGTGCCTGTTAACTCAAGTGACATTCAGGGCTCTAGAAAATGGCGAGGAGAAAAAAAAGGTTAACCAATAGCCATGAGAACAGACCTGGGCCTGTGGTGAATGTGTTCCAGTGGCTGAAGTCTATGTAATCCATCTCCTATGACAACACAGAATAGCTTGTATTGGACAATTCCTTATATATATGAGAAAGGACCCCCCCCCAAAAAAATCAGAATTATTTTTTAGAGGGCAAGCCCTATAATTATAGTACAGACTTCCCCTACTGGGTAAGTGTTCTAGGAACCCATCAGTATCAGTGTACCAGTTAACATTGTTGTGAGAGGCTACGTTCAGCTTCAGTGAAATTTGTTTTGGAGATTCTTTCAACATGTTTGCACATTTCATGATGGGTGGTTTACAAGCACACCTGCCCATAACATGCTGAATGTTCATCAGTTTTTGTCCAAAAAATGCATGTCTCCCATGCCCCACCCTCCCAATTCACCCACTCTCACTCCAGGTGACTTTTTTTTTGTTTCCCCGGATGAAAGTATTCCTCAAAGGGAAATGTTTTGCAAATGTGGAAGATGAGAAACAAAAAATGGCAGAAGCACTAAAAGCCATCAAAATTAACAAGTCCAAAAC